TGTAACACTGTTGCACATTCTGTTTCACTCACATAGACATACACAAATATCTTTTATTAGATAAATTAGTAAAAACTGTTTTGTTTCTGAGCAATGTAGTTTGCATCATACAAAAATTTATATAAATTGTTTGTTACTCATTCTTATATAATATAGTATAGAATTTGTAGATGCACATCATAATTATTGACTTGCATTTACATGTGATATAATATAGTCTTGCATATGGCATTGCATGTAGTTAAATGTTGGATTGTGTTCTTGTTCTTTATATGTGCATGTACAATGCATTTTTAGTTGCTTAAAATGATATACGGAACGTTTTGCCATTTATATTTTGAAATATTTAACAAACTAAGCTTTACTTCTGGTCCGGACTATAATTGTATCAAGATCAATCTTTTAATTTTATGTTGACTAAATATTGAACTGAAATAGTTTTACTCTATTCTCTATTACTGTTTATAAACATATGTTTAATTAAGTGTGTATCAATATTTTAATTACAAAAAAACCAAAAAAACGTATTTTAAAAGTTTCTTGTTTATTCAAAAACTAATTATTTGACTTTTTAATCTGGTTAAATCTTCATTTTAAACTCACACGTGCTGGATAATTATTTTATAACATAAATGTGGTAGTAGCAAATCACATAATAGCTTACTAGTTTAAGACAAATGAGTAAAAGAGGACAACATTGTTTGACATCGACTTGTGAAGCAACCAGTGGGATAAATGAACCCCGGAACAAACAGCCTATCAATCTGTCCGGATATGGCTCTTATTCAGATGCGCTCCTCTAAAGAAGAGATATTCTCCTTACCTACTATATGGAAGGTCTGATCTATAACCTGATTCTTTTTCACAATTATACGATTTTTGTTAGTTTTTAATTTAAAGCAATATTTTCAAATATTATATTATAATTTATACACATGCATATGCTATACTATAAGTGTATATATGCAATCTATGTGAGAATTTGACTAAGCATGGGATAACTTTTTAGAAAATTGAAAGACCGTTGACTATTTTTACAGTGGTAAAATTATGGACTAATATACACCAATATTGATAGCATATTGTCATTATTACATGTTTAAATTATTTCATGGGTTGTAGATGAGTAATCTACTCACTATGCAGGTTGTATTGATTAATTTTATTTTATTGATGTTCAGAGCATATTAAAAGAATTTTGGCAAGTCTTGTGATTATTTGAATAATTTCCGATTTAGAATTTTCTCTGGTGTTTGTTTCTCATTTAAATGATCATCATATATTTATTAAATTAATGTTTTACACTTGGTTTCTTTAATTAAGCTGACAGCAGCAGACATCTGCCATGTTGATTAAGATTCATGTTTTTATTGTTAAATTTCATTTTCCTTACTAAAGAAGAATATTTGAATTTACGCTCCCAATGAATAACATAACCAGATGTGCATGCAATATTAATTTTTATGATAATTAATATGACAAACAACAAACATGTTGATTATATTTAAATTAAAGTGTTATTTTGCATACCAGTATATATGATATTTTGGAAAAAGTTTTTTAATATTGAATCATTTAATTTAATAATCATTTTATTCATCTAATTGAGTTTAGCCTAGTACAATGAAGCTAAAACGACAGTTATTAAAATTATAATTTATTATTTTCTATATATAGAAGGTGTACATTTTGATTCAGTTGGTTAGCTGTTTAAATTAAATTTTGAGATAATGTTTATTCTCTGAAAAAAATCTAATTGGAAAAGTATTTCATTCCATAGATTTGAATTAATTGAATTAAATCTAGGGTTAGTGGATATGCTAAAAAATACATATTTCTTTATATGTGATTTTTTCTTGCAATTCACTTACTAACATTCTAATTATTTTTTTTATTCTTTAAAATGCATCTCTGTCAAACCTGGAGCTGCTTGCATGTTAAACAACAACAACACACGTTTAGACAACATTTTCAGGGGTTGCCGTTTGGCTACCTATGATGAAACCGAAATACCCCTCGACGCCATCCACATCTGTCACTCGCCTCAGTATCACGCAACCCCGCTTTCACCCTGTCTTTCTCCACCTGCTCCCTCCTTCCCAATCGCGGACGACCCCTTCCTACCACTCCTTCAACCTCGAACTCCAACGCTCGCCTAATCCCGACCCTTTCATCCCTTCTCAACACATGTCCATACCACCGCAATCTCGATCTCCTTATCAATGTCACAATGTCCTCATTCAGTCCCATCATAGACATCAGCTCTGTACTACTCCTCCTATCCTTCACTTTAACCCCACACATCATCCTCACCATAGCTCTTTCAGCCCTCTGCAGTACACTTTCCTCCTCTCTCCTTAACTCCCAAGTTTCACCACCATATACCATCGCTGCTCTCACACATGCTTTATATACCCTCCCTTTCATCTTCACTGACCATTTCTTTCCACACAATACCCCACCCAGTTCCCTAAATTTCATCCATCCCACACGAACTCTAGCCGTAACTGCGCTCAAACAGCTGCTTGCATGTTAAAATTATAACTAATTACTTTTCATCAATGGAAATCAACAGGTTTCTATCATTTATTTATTTTCTCAATGAGGTATCATGAAAAATTTTATTAGAATGTTCAAATGTTAGAAATTATTTTTATGTTCATTAAACCCATGGCAGTATTTCTTATCAACATTTACAATCTGAAATGTGCCTCACAGGATAAGGAATAATCTTGATTTATAATATGTTGTGTTGCTGTTGTGCTGCATAAAATATTATCTATCTCAATTTACTCTTAATTCTCATTTCTATTGGTGCTTATTCTTCAAGGAGGTTAAGTAATCCGGTTGAATGTAAATTATTGATATTGATTATGGTTGGAAACGTTTTCATGTGTTTTTATGAAATAATGTTTTGAAACTTATGTTTCAATCTCATAATATGATCTTGCAATTATTTCTGTTCATAAAATTGTAATTTATTTTACAGTTTATATCAATTTGATAGCTTGAGGGCTCAAAATTCAAGTACTGAACTCAAGATTTATCATCCGTTTATTATAGACATTTTGATATCTTATAAAGTCATTAAGGCAACATAATCATTCATTCCACCTGTGTTTAATACATATTGTTTTAATTACTCAATTTTCTTTGTACTCTTCCTGTACATACAATGATTCAAATTTTTATGATTTTTCATTTAAAATGACTAATATTTATTGATTTGCTTTGATGATGCGCTATTGCGTTTTCTATTTTAGAACCTTCAAAATGCATTAAAACCTGCCCTCTTAATGGTACCCATATGCATCCAGGTTCTGTTCCTTGCATTCTAGCTCATTTCTATTCTTACCATATGTTCCAAAATATTGTGTCTGCGTGTACTTGTGTTTGTGTTTTTTTTCTTTGGATTGTTCTGACGTTGACTGCCCTGTTTGAATAAATTTTTTGTTTTTCAGTTTCTGTTAGTTCCTGTACGATAGTATATTGCATAATATTGTATTGTAAGATATATTTTTGCCTTATTTGCATGATTTATTCGTGTATCACAGCTTCTTTTTTCCATATTTTTAAAGGCTTTGTTTTAAGATATTTATGTAAACCTTGATTTGACCTTTTATTGCGCTGTTCGGTATTATGCGTTTGTGAAAAGTTTTTACAACTCTGTTTATAACTGCAAATGCTTTTAAAACTCTGTTGAAATTTATTGTTATTTTCTTTTTAATATATATTTTCACATATTCTTATTGGTTTTATAAAATGTTTACTGTTGTATCCTCGTAGTCTTGATCATGGTTTAATCAAGTTAAAACAAGTTTTTTCATGTTCTAATGGATTTTTAATGTATTTTACGGTTGTGGTCTTTGCTCTACGCTGAAACATATTTCATTGCAATTGAGTATTAATTTTTCCAGAATTGTTTTTTTTAATTGTCGAATTTAACTTCGCCATCGCTTTCTTAACTTAATGATTACTGATGATAATAATGGTGATGAACAAATTATAAAAAATTACAAAAAAAGATAAACAAAAGTTACAATGCTTGAATTTATAAAATTGCAACGTGTTGGGGGACTCAGTTTTTGGATAATGAAAGAAAACCGATGGCACTGTCATAAAAGTTGAAAGAATATTTAAGCATGGAGACCAGTGAATAGATATGCATGCATGCATGTGTGCTGTCATATTGTGTGTGTGTGTTTAGGTTTTTTTTTATTGGCAAATCTTGCCAGTTGTACTGTCTATGTCTGTCTATTTAAGGTCTCCATCTAACACTAACACATTTTCTACTTGCTGTGTGTAGTTATATGTAGCTGTTACATTATATTAGTGTTTGTTGGCATATATATTGTATCAAGTTATTTTTGTTAATTTAGCCATACTAATACACATGTGTAAATGAATGGTTTTCAATTCATAGTATTGTTGAGCGAGAAAGTGTAAATATCAAAGTTTTTCTTTAGTTATCTTCAAAAATCGCTTCAGAAGCACTGATTGAAAATTACTTTGTTTTTGTTTTCAGTCTTTTGGCACATATGGAAACATCAAAGTGGTAATATATTTCAATGTGGAATTCATTGTTGTCACGCTTTTAACATTTAAGAATGTATCATGATTCATAAAGCATTATGAAGCTTACATGTTTCATGTTGAAATAATAATTGGGTACAAAAAAAAACTGAACCTGAATATAAATATTTTGTTTCGATATCTTTATAAAAATGTTAATCTCTACATATAGTTATATTTCCTTATGGTGATTATATTATATTATATTAATATATATAAATATATATATATATATATATATATATAATATACTACACCTATGATTGCTGCTAGGTTTTATCTGAGTATTAATTTTGATTATGGTTACTTACAAGCTGAAAGGAAAAATATTGTTTGTCTGTATGTATGTATTATATATATACATATATATCACATTATATATATGTGTGTGTGTGTGCGTACGTGCCTGCGTGTGTGCGCATGCATTTATGCACATTATATGCATATTAAATGTGTCTATCAAATATTTCAGAAGACTTCTGGTTGAAATATCCATTATTTTCATTGTTTGTTATTCTATTAATTTTTTTCCTATCATTTTAGTAATTAATTTTTCAATTTATTGATTAATTTTTCACACAGGAAAATGTTGCAAAGGTAAAAAGTACACCCAACAAAGGTGAGAACAGACAGGCAGCTAAAAGAAAACTCTATTCATCAGGCAGTACCAGTGAAGATGAAGGTATTACAGCATGGTTATTATAATGGATTACACTCATCATAATTATGTGTAATTACAAAATGTCCATGTATATCCTGGTTGAGTTGTTCTCTGTAACTAATTACACTCTTTTTGACAGACAAGAAAAATGCCACGTTGAAAAAGCGCAAAAATTCTCCTTCCAACGACCTATCTCCTCTGAGGGTGCTGTCAAAGCCACGGACTCCCCAATCTGCCCAGAGAGTGAACAGCGTGCCACTGTCCGAGAGACAACAGATGGCTCTCTTGATGAGGCAGATGACTGATGAATCACATCTGCAGGCAAATGGTTAGTTTGTACATAATTTCTACATTGTGTTTGCTGTTCGTATTATTGTCTGTTGGTTTGTTTTGCTGGATAGTTTTTAATAAATTAATTTTCATTACTAGGTGCATAAAATTATGGTGTCAAAAGTAGATGTAAACTTTTCTTAGTTTCTGGTTTTTATTTCATTGTAAACCCAGGAACAAGAAAATATTGTATAAGTTTGTTTTTCAAGACACATTGTTACGGTTGAAAGTTGCAACTTATTCAAGTACACAGCAAACTTTTGTTAAATTCAAAAATTTGTTAAATTCAAAGTTGATGAAAACTGTTGCCTAAATAAATCTTTTAAGCATAAATCTTTAGCATTTGATATTAAGACACTGCTTGATGACTGATGTGTTGAGGTCATGAGTCTGGGTGAATTTGGTATAAATGGAGATAATATGTAGATTTATAAACACACCAAACATGCACATTGTGCGTGCACACTCATTTATTTATGTGTGCGTGTATATGTGGTGTGCATGAGTGCGTGTGACATGTACTCTTCTTACATGCTCTTTAAAAACTTTAAGAACTCTTTAAAAATCAAAACTCATATTTATTATTTGATGATGCTTGCTTTTTATACTTTTGACACATTTCATTTTTTGTGAAACTGGTGATCAGTTTGTTTGCAATATGAGATTTTAGGCCAAATATTGTCATAAATGTTTTTTATCTTTAAATGTGAATCTTGTTTGCACTTAACATGTCATGTTCAAATTATGATGAACTTTTAATCAAATTTTATTGAAGCTTTCTCAGTTAAAATTGAAGTTTGAAATTAAATTGTGGCATTTGGAGTAATTTGTTTCTTGTTTAAACCTAATTTAATTTAAAATCTGGAAGAGTAATTCACATGATTATTATTTCAAACTTGATCATTAATCAAATCTGTTGTTTATACTCAGTAATAGCTTTCCTTTGTACCATGTGTCTTCACACACACTGATAAAGAGAAACAAAGGCTACAAACACCACATACCCACACATTAAACTTTGGTACACTTTATATGTGGGGTTGTTTGATGTTAGCTTATTTATATGTCTGTTGTAGCCATGTCATCTTGTGTGCAATGCCACTAAATGTGGTTGGTTTTTTATTTTTCTTTATTTTCTATTACTCAAGGTCAATAGTTTTTTTTTTCAAATCATATTTTCAATTTTTGCTCTTTTATGATTTATTTGTTTTTTTTTTCAAATATGGCGCAAATATAATTTGCTTTATTCATTATTGTTAATAATTAAATAAAAATATTTTGTAAGAAAAATTTTGTTTAATATAAAAGTAAAAATGACAACTAATCAATCATTAATTTATCTAAATACAATTATGAGTTATGTAAATTACAATACATTTTGCTTGATAAAGTAGTAATTCAGTTTTAAAAGATACATGAAAATTTATTATTGGATCTGCTCATGTTTTAATATCACTCCTAATATATACTTCTGACATTTTAGGTATATAATTGAAAAATATCTATATAAAAATATCTGAAATGCAGTATTAAATATTGCCTTGTGTTGACCTATTTGATGACTCCTTATCAATATCATTCACTTATTCGTTTATCACCCAGCTGCTTTCTCCCCATGGTTTTACCATTCCCTGATTACTTTTTTATGATGTTACACAAACGCTCGCGCGCGCGCACCACATCTATATAATATCGAAATTTAATTTGATTCACTTATATAATTTATTTTTAAATTTTCCTCTGTATTCACATGGGTTTCTAAAAGAAATTTTGATGGCTAATCCTAGTCAGTCAGCCAGTCAGTAAGCATTTTGACATGAGTGATGTTGGAGCAGCAGGCATTGATGTGATTATGAAAGTGTTTCGTTCTCATTATCATCATTCATCTTTCTTGGCATTTCAAGGAAATTGCTTTCTCAGAAATGAATTTAATATGCTCTGGTACAGTTTCTTTGTAATGTCCTTTGTCGTTCATATGTATGCATATTTTATGAATTTCTATTTTTATTTCACAATATGTTGCTCGAAATTTTTTGACTTAAAACTTATTTCCTTAAAAATATATTAATAAGTAAGTATGTTATTCAATTATGTTAATGGTATTTACTTATTTATTCAACATGTTTATTAATATTTAATGTAAGTAGGAACTAACTAATATTCAACTGTTTGGCCCATTTATTCTTATTTCAGTGCAAATTTGTTCATGTTCATACAATGTGTATACAGACTTTTGACTGTGTGTATGTGTGTGCTGGCTTGTGTGTGAGTGTGTGTATATGTGTATTCAAGCTATCTATAAACATTTGGGTATGATTATTTATCAGTTAATTAATATACAAAGCTAATGAAAGAAACAAACCAAACTATTAAATATGACTATCCTTTATAAATGTTTATACATATTTTATTATTGTATGAAAATATTTGTTAGTCGTATTTTTATAAATTTTCAGAGTTCTACATTAGTTTTTAATTTTTTCTGTTATACTTTTTATCACATGGATTGATTGATCATTTAATTGAATGTAGTTCTGATACACTGTTAACCGCTGTTACCGCTGCAGTTCAATAAGCCTACAAGAATAAAAGGACTAAATATACAAATTTAATGAAACAATTTCTTTAGGAAACAATTCGGGTAGGAAACTAATTTAAATGATTATGAACACAGATCCTGCCACAAACAACTGTGGAACACCGAATTCTCCTTTCCTATCTGGTCACAATAGCAGCAAGAAGAGGCCATCATCTGATGCGAAGGCTCTGAAACGCAACAAACGAGGTGAGACGCCACTTCACATTGCAGCCATCAAAGGCGATGCACAAATGGCTGATAAGCTCATCAAGGCTGGTGTCGACCTCAACATTAAGGATTATGCTGGTTAGTTAACATGGTATTTTTTAAAGTTTTTGTTCATTTATTGGGATCTTATTCTCATTTTTATTTATAGGACTGCAAAATCCGTTTTTTCTCTTAATTTTGTTTATTAAAATGTTGGAAGCATAGATATATAAATATCTCGTTTTTTGAGAGTGACGACCCTTTTTAGAGTTTTTTGGTTCATAATGGGCTGACTCATGTGTAACTGTTACAATCTTTTTATGGGCTGACAATCTTTTTTTTTAAATCACGTCCAACACCTCACGGGCCGTAGTTTGCCCACCCATGTTATAAATAATAAATGACAGTTTTATTTAAAAATTCAATGACCATTACAACTATTGCAACATTGTAGAGCTTCATTAAATAGGGGATGATTTGTTTAAATTTTGAAATCTAAAGTTCAGTGATATCAACATTGCTATATTTTTAGCCAATTCTCATTAAACACCACTTCATTCTCGTGATTTTATTTTTTGAAATAATATTTCAATGTGTTATCAGGTAAAGTTATTAGTTTAGATTGATATTTTAAAGCTATTCTGAAAGTTAAAAAATTTTGAATAGTCTACAAGTTGCAATAATGAACTCATTAAATATATGGAACACACACATACATTTTTTCATGAATGACTCATTCAGCTTTTACCATACCTGATCTTCAAATCATGTCGTTTTGTGCTGGTGTGTGTGTGTTGGGTGTGCATGAGTTTTTATGCCTGAATAATCTAATGTGTGTACACAGACCTATATGTTGGTCTGTGCATATAAACATGCTTACAGCTATATAGATAAATTAGGTATGCAATCTGATCTACTCAAATACATACATGCATTCTTTTCCCTAGATGTCTAAAAACTTTTATTTACAATAGCATTCATGATTTACCTAGCATTGTGGGCTTAATTTCAAAGTTAATATTGTTCTATTATATTTATTATTTTTGTTTTTTTGGTGCATTATGACTTATAAGTTGTTAAATGTGTGTTTTTCCCCGAATTTGTTATAGATGATCAATATTTATTCTCTCAATTGATTGATTGATGGTCTAATAACTATCCATAACCATATAACTTAACATCTGGACTTAGGTTGGAGTCCCTTGCATGAGGCATGCAGTCATGGTTTTATGCAAGTTGCTCGGAGTCTTCTTGAAGCTGGTGCCCATGTTAATATCCTAGGTCTGGATAACGACCTTCCATTGCATGATGCAGCCTGTAATGGACACTTTCAGGTTTGTTCGTTTGCTCAATTGTTTGCTCATTGCTTTTTGTCCTGTTAAATGTTTAGACTTTTGAATGTGCTGTGATTGAAGGTTAGTTTTTATTAGTTTTCCAGTTTTTAATATGAATTTATTAACATTCATCAGAACATAACGCTTATCATTGCATTCATTACATTAATGCTGAATACGTTTTGAATACATTCACAGGTTGTCGAGTTGCTGCTTAAACATGGAGCAAACCCTTTCTTTAAAAATCTTAAGGGCGAGTCTGCCATTGATGTTGCTAATGGGGACGACGTTGTTATGTTATTAAAAAATGGATATGTTACGAATAGTAACAACTCCAACTCTACAACTGCCACCACAACTAGCAGCACCGCCACCAATCACAGCAACCATAACAACAACAACAATAATAATAATAGGATCAATATGAGATCACCTGCAACACCTGAAAGTCTAACTTCAAATTATGAAGACGAAGATCGAACAAAGCTTAAAATTGGTTTGTGTTTTTGTGATGACTTGGCTTAAAATTTGTCTATCTCAGTTACAAAAGATGAGTCATTGTCATCATTGTTTTTGTTCTTATTAAATAGATTTATGTCAGTTTCTTAGAGACTTGTTTTGGCACTAGCTAGCTATCAACTTGTGGGCTAATTTTTTCTCACAGACAAATTATTAAAAGTATACTATAAAAATGGTTGAATTGAGGATATTTGTAATAATGATTACTTTCAGTTGCCAATTAATTTAGGCTACATCCTGAAATAATAATGATCTGGCAGCTTATTTTTGAAATCATTATTATTACTATTGTTCTTATTATTGCTGTTGTTATTAAAAGAAAGTGCAGTGAACCTTTGATAATGTTATTTCATCATGTGACATTATTTTAGTTGTTAGCTGCAGCAGACTCACTCCTCTTTCAATGGATCACAAATTAAATTGCAAATTGTGATTACACGTGAATACACATTTTAGTTTTTAGGGAATTATCTTTAATTATAAAATGAACTATTTGACTATTGAACACATTCAGGATTCTTCTTTCTTGTGCTTTATCCTTTCAGGACATTGGCGACCATCAACCTCCACAAAACCCGATCTTTAACTCTTTGTATCCGTTGAAATTTGGTGATATTCAACAAGTGACACGAGGACTTCATGAATGTTATCTCTTCTTTCTACAATCTTTCCAGTAGTTGTTAGATTCTCCATTCTTTCTTTCCACATGATGTGACCAAAATCTTTTAACTGCCCCCATCGGATTATCTGTAGTAATTTCCTCTTTTCAAAACTGGAATGTTTTAATACATCCTCAATTGAGGTATGAGAGGTCCAACTAATTTTCAAAATTTTTCTCAAAAACCTCATCTCAGCATCATTAATTTTTTTCCATTTCTTTAGAAATTGTCCAGGACTCAGAACCGTAAGTGAGCACAGGAAAAATGGAACACCTTAACAGTATTAATTTTGTTGATATTCTGATTTCACTGTTGGTGAGGATGTTTTTCATTTTAGAATATGCATCTCATCTTTCGCCATATCTATTTTTTGTTTGATATCCACTTCATATTTACATCCTGAGGTAATCAGACTTCTGAAATAATTGAAGCTGTTCACTTGTTTCACTTATTTACCATTAATGATTATGGAGCAGATCTGGGTGGTTTTGCTTTTACTGATAACCATGCACTCCGTTTCGTTGATTTCAATTTGCAAGCCTTTCCTGTCACTTTCAAAAACCAGTTTGGAAACAATTGTTTGCAGTTTTTCCATTGAATCCACTATAAGAGTTGCATCATCGTTTATATTTACACCTCCAATGGATATTCCACGTATGTCTACTAGCCTTCTCATGATGATTTCACTTCATTTCTTTAATAATTATCCCATCTGGACCTGGCGCTTTATTTGATTTCATTTTATAAAGAGCGCCACAACTTCAGATCTAAGTATCTTTGGTCCTTCTACGTTTCGTCTTTTTTAATAGGAAGCCTTTCACCACGGATGTCATCGAAAAGATCATTTAGAGTTGATGCACCTTAGTCTATCATCGATTTTACGTTTTACAACTGATTAATGTTTTTGTTATTATTACGGGATTCGTAAATTTTATTCAAAAAAATTAACTTCTTTGGGACAGTTTTTTTATTATTTAACGATAAAAATTGTTTCATAATTTTGTTAAATGATTCATGTGTGATTGTCATAAGAAGCTAAAGAAAATTTTTTGATTTTTTTGTAAGAATGATAAATTTGATCTTTCTACATTTATTATAATATTGATATTGTTACATTGCTCTATTTTTAAACATACTCAACACAATCACACAGATTGTTCAATGACACCTCCTCCGGCTCTAACAATGGCAACAGAATTGGTAACCCCTATTAAGCTCCATTCTTCATCATCCTCAACATTGTCTTCTACACCACCATCATTGCACAACCATCAATCTTTACAACAATCACATAAAGCTGACAAGTTACATCACTACAGTTTAGATCCTCCAATATTAAATGGATGCACTCCTTATCCAGTCATCAATAACAAAAATAACGTTGAAAATAACAAAAATCATCGTAAAAAGCAGCAGAGGTATAATGAAAAAACTCAATCTGATATTTATTCTTCAGCTGCTCTGACGAACAACCAGCAACAACAACATAAACAACATTTACAAAAACAGCATCACCAGCAATTTTCTCAAAAAACTCCTCAGAAACAAACTGATCAACAACATTTGATGCACCAACAACAGCAACAACATCATTCGCAGCAACAAGCATGGAATTACAACATTAGTCCGGGGTGTAATTCTGAAAACCATCAGTCTCATGTTTCAGGGATTATCCAACAACAACAGCAAAAAAATCAACAACATTTTCAACAATTCCAGCATCACACACAACTTCAGCAAACAAATGAATTTATTCAAGACCAGCTGATGAAGAATAGTATATTGAATTACCCTAATGGCTGGAAACCAGTGAATGGGTTTGTGGCAGATAAAATTGTAAGAGGCAATGATCAGAAACTTGAAACAGACACATACACATGTACTCCTCTGCCTACTCCTCCTACATCACAATCAATAAATAATGTCGTTAAATCGGATTCAGCTATGACACCTGTACAATCATCCTCTTCAATGGTATCATCAACTTCATTAACTGCAACAAATTCATTATCCTCAACCACAACACCAATAACATCAACTCAGTCTAATACAACCAAATCTTTCATGCCCCAGTTTGAAGATATAAGCGATGCAGAAGATGATGATGATATCAGAAGAAGTGAAGAAGCAAGCAAGATGAAAAACACTCCATTGGTATCTGGTAGTGCTACTGGCCTAACGAATATTTCTCACATGTTATCTTCAAATATCTCATCCAACAATCTTTTCAGACCCGCTACACCTTCTGGCTACACTACTAACAGCAAAAATAACATTAACCCAATTCTCAATGCTCATCTTGCACAATCGGCTTGGCCCAACCTCAACTTTGGTTATCCTTTACCAAACACTTCAGTGCAACTACCTTTATCATTAAATAGTATCATAAACAGCAGTTCAGTAAACACTTTAACATCTCCGCCATCTACCACTTCAATCTCAACATTAAATGCCAACCTTTCTTATTCTTTGGCATCGCTTGCACTGCATCCTGGTCTTCTGGCGCAACAGGCTGCACTTTGGAAAGGATTTTCTCCAGCAAATAAACTGCCAAATACATCAACTTCACGTGAATCAAGTAGTTCAAAAGCATTCAGTCCAAATAAAATTGAAACATTCAACCATTTCAACAATGCCAATCTGACGAATTTATCTTTTGAACTTTTGCTACAACAGTCCAATATTTTACAAAATTTACCAGTTGATACGAAACTTTTGGCAGCCTCATATGAGCAGGTAATACCATTTTTGCAAATGCAAATGGCGAAGTCAGCCGAAGTCAAACAGCAGCAACCGCCACATCTACAGGAACATCATTCATTACAGCAGACACAAAATCAACAGTATCTACAATATCAACAACAGTCAACGCAACAAGCCCAACAGCCTCAACACTCTCGGCATGATGATAAAGTTCAACTTTTCAGTCCCTGGCATGCATCTTCTTCAAAAAATAATTCACCTCCCAAAAATAACAACATTATCATTAATAGCAGTTGCAGCTACACCATGAATCAAAGCGCCTCTAATAATATTCCCATACATTTACAGAACAACGGTAACAACATTTCACTAGATGCCACTAAACACCAGTCCGGTCCGCCTCCTCACACTCTCCTTATCGTAGACGACAACAAATCAGAAAGCAAAGTTATCACAAAAAATTCTTCTCTCCCTATGAACCATAACTTTAACAACAATATTAACAATTCAAGTAGTGATTATCTGTCAGATAAAAAGTTGAATTTTTCTTCTTTCCCGTTATCTCCAGCACCATTAACATCATTTTCCTCGTCGTTATCATTACCAGCAGCACCATCTTCATCTTCGTTATCTTTATCGTCCTCTTCATTTATTCCATTGTCATCATCAATTCTAAGAAACGCATTACCACTGAAATTTGACATAAAAGATAATCTGCAATCAGCATGCGTTATCTCCACTAATTCTTTCATCTCGTCCTGCAGTAGTAATGCTACAATCGCCAACAGCACAAACAACCTCCCAACAAGTTGCATCAAAACTAGTAACAGTAGCAGTTGTAACAATAGTTTCATCATCAACAGCATGTATCCAAATAGTAATCTTATGAACATTGCTAGCAATAACTACTGTACAAATAGTCAAAATTGTAATAAAATATGTAGCAGTATTAATAATGGCAATGGGAATAATTTTAGTCAGTGCATCATACAACCGTCTGACATAACAACAGCCCTTGATACTTTGACGATGCAACAAAGGCAAAAGTTGCAGCAGCAGCAGCAACTGATAGCTGCAGATCTTAACAGCAAACTTTTAGATGCATGCACAACTCCCAGAATGAACAGTCCAGTAACCACCACCACCAGTTGTTCACAGACTGGTGAAAGTGTTGAATGTTCTGCAGAATATTCAATGTCATCCTCCTGTCCAAGAGTTCCTCCCCTCAAAATCGTTCTACCTCAAAAGTCTGGTGATGTTACAATAGAGAAGCCACAGATCGTCATTCCTCAGCAAAAAATGAGCATGCCGTATGTTACAGGTTATGCACATACAATGGAAATATCCCTTCCTGCAACATTTGTTGCTGCATCCATGTCTACTGCAACAATTCCTTCTGCTGTCTCAACGAAGATGACATCGTGCAGTGACGTCATTTCAACGACGTTGACTGCAACAAAAATTTCTTCTACATCGATTTTAAAAGATAAAATTTGCGCAGTTGATATTCAAAAACATTCTGGAAGCATTAACAGTTTTCAATCAACATATAACATTATCAATAGTAAAAACGACCACAATATATTCAACAACGCTACTAAATGTGAAAATGTTTCTAACGTCTGCAACACCAATGATAATGTCCACAGCTTTCACACCAACAATAAAAACCACAACAATATAATAAATAATACTGTAATCAACGTAACAAGTTGCAGCAACAATGACAACAACAGCAAGAATGTTTACAATGCTGCACCTATGATTTCAAATGTGGAGTGTGTACCAACAAAGAAGAGGAAGACAAAGCACCTTTTTAAGGTTTGCTCCTTGATACTTTTTTATTTTGTTTGGTTAACGCTAAAATGTGCTTTATGTAGATTTTGAATTGAATATTTTTATAATCTTTATTGAATTAAACAAAACTTTTTCAAGTTTTTTGTATTTTAAAAAACCACTGGAAAAGAAAAAGGGCATAATCTCATGAATAAATTAACTTATTTAAAAAGATTTCAGTGTTTTAGTAGTAATTATCCACATCATTATCTTACAGGTAGTGCATCTAGTAAAAGATGTATAAATGGCTACATTCTTGACGTTATCTTATCTTGTGCCATTATACTTCATTAATTATACTCATTTATTAGTCTCATTTATCATCATTTTCTAGCTTCCCTATGTAGGTGTTTATACGAAAACGCGCGTGTGTAAATGTGTGTATATATATATATATATATATATATATATATATATATATATATATATATATATATATATATCAGTCCAGTCTATGAGGAACGAAAAGTTTAGTGTTCTTGAGGACTTGAATTTGACATTTGACAATTTTTATTTCATCAAATCAAAACAAAGAAATCAAAGAAATGATGTCAATGAAAAGAAATTATCTGGAAATCGAAAAGAAAATATGGTTTTCTTGTAAAGATTACCAGTGACAATTGTAAAAATGAGAGCATATTTTAAATATTTTAGTGCATGTAAACTCACATTCATATTACAAATCCTAAAAAACCAAAAATGGAATCATAATTATTAAGTAATCAACTCTTTTACATTTTTATCAGAATGTCGTTTGTAATTATTGAAACACAGATATATATATATAGACCCACGTAAATGGGCTGGACTATATATAAACTTTACATATAATGATAATAATAGTAGTAGTAATAATTATAATATAAATATATATATATATTTCATTTCATTCATTTCAAAGTTTTATTCATAATCAACAACATATCAAATAAATGAATAAAAGTTATGAAGTTGAATATCCGGAGACCGAATAAGACTGTTTGTCTTGTGGTGGCCACCGCAGGTAGATACATGAATAGTTAATGAAATAAAATAAGGAAAATAACTGAAGCAGAAAGATAATTGAAGATAAATAAGTAAATGTTCGTGTCATACATATATAGACATATAACTATGTAAATGTTCGCTCAGTACATATATAAACACATAAATGTTTAACCATTCATAAAGACCATTCATCCGCATCATTTGTTCTAACGTATTCTTAATATAGTATTAGGTGGTGGAGTCGAGATCCAGTGTCAATAAAAAAGCACGGAATTTTGACTTGAAATGTTGTAGGTTTATGATGGCTCTTAGATGGGGAGGTACAAGTATATATATATATATATATATATATATATATATATATATGTAAACTGGCCAAAATTAGAAGCCAGGTGTATTGGCTGTTCTAAACATGACAGTAAAATAATCTGCTGATCTTGGCATTCTTAAACAATGGTGAGAATGAGAAACATTGAATTGAAAAATTGTGTGTTGGCATTTTGTAAAGGCATAGCCAATTTAAATTAGCTGATGTTTATATCTTGAAACATTGGTGTGATATCTCTGAAGTGTACTTTCTTTTTTTGTAATCATACAGTACACTTTTATAGTACTTGGATAATGCAGTATGTGCAAGCAGTCTCTACCCGCTTGATTAGGTTTATAATCTCATTCATATGTATATTTATGGCTTCAGGATAATGGCTAGCAATTTGTTTTATATGTACCAGACTCATTCATATGCATCACTTTTATACTTTGAAGATGAGTAGCGACAATAATGAGAATGAGGATTAATATGATGGTTATAATTATGTTTTTTATCAATCTATTCAATGCCATCTGCTTCTTACAAATTCTTTTGCAATAAAATATTCTTATCTTAAACTCTTCTTTATACCATATTCAAAGAATTTAATAATGTAATCATTTTTTTCTTTTTTCTTCGTTTTTATCTTCCATTAAAAATTATTTTTAAGGGTATTTAAAAGAGGATTTGATTTTATTTTTAATTATTTTGTGTTTTTAGTTTTCAATTTTTTTTAACTCTAGATTATATTTTTGCTTTTATTTTTTGAGATCTCATAACATTTTATTGAAACGTACCTACAGAAAACATTGGAGTTATTACAATTTTAACGTTAAATAATTATTTAGACATCAGGAAAAGATTCTGATATAGAAACCAACGTTGCTTCCAAAGCCTCATCGGCATCTACTACGTCAATTGCGTTATCAACATCTACATTAGGAGCAACCACAACAAGTAGCAATGTGGAGCAAGCAAAAAACATTCTTTCCACTGCTACATCTCTTACCTCCAGCACAACTACTATTACTTCAACAATATCAACTTCAGATAAAAAATTTTCTTCTCCAATTGAATCATCAAGCAGCCGGTCAGCAACAGCATCTATAACAGCAACATCATCCACACTATCAGTAACAACAACAACAACAACGTCTATCAAGCAACATCAACACGTTTATGACGATGTTGTAACTACTCAAGCAACAAAACATTCAACAGAGCGAAGAGTGACAAGGTCAACAACGGCAAGCAAGCAACACAGAGGTCAAAGCAGAGAACGAAGAAACTCTCACAATGATTCTTCAGGTTGCTTTTTTTCTCCTTTTAACTCTAAATTTGGCTAATAGAAATTACACTAGAAAAAAGTAAGATGGATGTTGTTAAAACATAGAATTTATTTCATTAAACCCGAAGAAGAATTATGTGATGATATTTGTACATGCTTCAGTAAACAAAAATTTAAATAGAGTTCTTGGAACTAGGAAAATAAATTTCATTTCAAATTAAACTTTATTAAATAACTGGGTGTATATGTGCATCATGACATGGGAATAAAACACAGCTAGGTTTGTTGCATTAAATGGCCGGCAAAGATAATTTCAATGTCTTTTAAAATTTATGCTGGGTCCTATCTTCATTTTCATGTGTTTCATTTTAGATGTTTTATTTTTTTGGAGAGTGTACAACTAGATGTTCATAAATGTTTTATTGTATATATGCTGCTAAAATATTATGCAAACCCATTAAATAAAAAAATTAAAAATAATCAAAATAATAACATCTTTAAAAAATGAATGAGAATTATTACTAAACTATAAAAATGCAACAGCTGTAAAATTTGATGAATAATTAATTGTTCATGGAGACTGAAGAAGGACATCAGACCTATAGCGAACTGAAAATGTGCGCGGGTGCATTTGAGGGCGAGTATAGGTATTCTTAATATATGAACAATACTAACAGATAATAAAGTTAATAAAACAAAGGATTTCACAAAAAACTTTGTAGAACAATGAAGTAAGTAACAATGAATGAATTGGGAGCATCCATTTTGTTCCTGCCTTTTCATTTAATTAAATTTTAAAAAAAGTTCTTGTGTGGATAATCTGATCTTTGTTTAGATTTTGTTTGAAGCAATTTTTCATGGAATTCATTTGATGATGTTAATTTAGTTTTATATGATACAGCATATACATTTATGTTTATTATTGTTCATATTGAGGTGACAGCCTACTGACATTCATAATTTCAACATTGTTTGTTTAGAATCGTGTAACATTATCTGTATAGTGTAAGTAATAAGTGTACCATGCAAAATGAACTAAACTTGACCAATGTTAATGACCTGAGATCTGGTTGCAGTTATCAACTTTATGCATCCAAGTAACTTCAAGTCATTCAGAAAGGATGGCAATCATCTAATATGAAAATGTTCTTCATTTTAAATTCAACTCGCAACTTTATTGAACTGTATTTCTTATCAAGTATGTAAATATTAAATTCAAACTCTATTTATAATTAGAAATTAGACTATTTCATTATTAATTATATGCTACAATGAGCAACACTCAAATAGAAAATAACATTCACCGGGTCAATGGAATATCTAAGAAATATTATCCTTCAATGCAGCAAACATTTATTTGTGCATTTTGGCAACAGTGCTGTACACATTTTGTGTACAGTTTTTCAAGTACAATTGTTGTATACAACTTTTTTTGTTTCATATAGCTTGTTTCACTTACCTAATCAGCATCAAAAATGTTTCTTTAGACTTTGAACTTTATTTCATTCATATCATCATATCATGTCATAGTTTTAATGTTCTTTGCTTAAATCTTCATTTTATCCTTCATATTGGGACTTGTACCAAGTTGTAATTTATTGGTAGGCATCTCTTGTCAAGTACATTTTAAACATTTCACAGAGCTCTGTTGTGTGTGTTTGTATTTTTAGTTAACATTTGTTTTTATTCATGTGCTATTTTTGTTTTTGTTTGTGTCTCTTTTTCTTATTTATCAGTACTTTTAGTTATAGAACTGTGCTGTCTAGTTATTATAGTTACATTGCACATGACATAATTTTGTATAATAATATTGTTATAAAAATATGTAAAAAGTAAAAAGTTTGTAAAAAGTTTTTACTTAAATTTGCATGATAAATTTGATTCATTGTCAGCAGACTATTATGTTTTCTATATATTTTTTTAAAAATCCAATTTAACCTTCAGCAAACTGCTGAGTATGAGTATGATTTTATACATGTGGATTACAGGTAGGTTTTTGTTATCTAAGAGTTATTAGGCTAATGATAATAGCTTTAATCATTAAAGTTTAATGGGTTTTCTATATGGTGTTATTGTATGCAAGGGAGTCATTTAAATCATCTCAGCAGTCACAACCAGAAACAGCAACACCATGATTAAATTGTGAATAAATTTATTAATGAATGAATTTGTGAATAAATTCAAATACATGTCTGTCTGTTTTAGAAATATAAATATTATAATTTGCTTAATTATCGTTATATTTAATAATGAATTCGTGAACTCAATATTTATTAATTTAAATAAGCTTAATTGATAATTTTTTTAAATGTTTATTGATTTACAATTCTACCAGGTTCTAAATGTGAGACAACAATTACGTTGTCGACATCTGCCATTCAATCAACATCTTCAACATCTTTTGCATCATCAGCTGCACAGGCATCTTTACTTACGTTAACGCTGTCTACATCATCTTCAGCAGCAGCTGTGCCGGATAACCAAATTAACAAATTTGAGGAAGATGAAGTCGTGCAAACAACAGGAAGGAAACATAAGGTTAAAGGTCACAAATTGAACCATGACCTTCATTCCTCGAGGGAGAGCAATTCTCCAGCTTATGCCATACCGTTGTCATCTCTCGGCTCCGTAGCTGCACATTCTGCCATGTTAAAGAAGCCGCCTAATCCTTACGAGATTTATCTCAATTTTAAGAAAAAGGTAGGAAGCATTATTATTTCGGCATTAAATTTTTTTTTGTTGTGTTTTTCTTTCATTATTTATTCTCTTTGGTTTAAATAAATATTTTGCCATTTGGTTAAAACTCTCCATTCTTCTAACTATTATACCTTTAGTCTTTCAAATGAGTTGTTTTGTCATCAGTACAAATGAGGGTTGTGATGATAAGGGCTTTCTAACTATGTCTAAATAATGATAATAACATTCATCTTTATAATGATCTTCTTCATCATTTTTCTATAAGTTTTTCTATAATTCTTTTTGTAACGTTGTTATTGTTTTTGATGATATAGAGCAGAAAATAATTGCATTCCTTCACAATCATGATTATCATTATCATTCTACTCACATTATCATCATAATTTTATCATCAAAGATGCTCATTTCCTCTTTTCCACAGGGATGTTTGTTGTGTTAATTAATTTCTGTCCTACTTCCTCATGCTAGATTTACTCCTTATTTCTATCTATCTTTTTACCATTCTTCATCTATCTCTATGTCTATCTCTATGTCTATCTAATTGTCTATCTAATTGTCTATCTAATTGTCTATCTATCTATCTATCTATCTATCTATCTATCTATCTATCTATCTATCTATCTATCTATCTATCTATCTATCTATCTATCTATCTATCTATCTATCTATCTATCTACCTACCTACCTACCTACCTACCTACCTACCTACCTACCTACCTACCTACCACCTACCTACCACCTACCTACCTACCATCTATCTACCTACCTACCTACCTACCTCTACCTACCTACCTACCTCTACCTATATCTATCTTTATCTGTTTGTCTATTTATCTTTTTATTTATTTATTATTTATCTTATTTATCTATATTGTGTTTTTCAAGTGAATAATTATTTTACTATGTACGTATGTTTGTATGCATCTTTGATTTTATATATATATATATATATATATATATATCTTTTTTTATCAATTGGTTGTTATGCATCTTGAATAGAACAAGATATTGCTGATTTAGATATCTGTTGCTTTGTGTATCTTCAAAATATTAAACATTACAATTTGTGTTTTTATTTTGTTTGCACAACTGATTTCATCGAAATTTACATTGCTATTGCATCTCACTTTCCTTTTCATCATTATCATCATCATCATTAACATCATCATCATCATCATTATCATCATCAATAACAGCAACATCTTGTACAGTTTTTTAAAGATTTTTCTCCACAATTGTTTGAAAATGAATTATGTGAAGGATGAATTTAAAATTTTATCTTCTGGTTTGTTTCTTAAAATGAGCAATGTTGAAAAATTTAGTTGTATAAAATATAGATAAGTGCAGTGTGTAAACATGTTTGTTTGTTTGTTCAGCATTCCATCATTGAGTGTTTTTGGAAATATAAGGCAAAAACATAAACATAGCTGAGAATAATGTTAATAATAAATATTATATTCTGAAGAGGTACTCATTGTTTCACTTACATGTGTGCAAAAACATGTGTGTATGTGTGCACACAATTTTAAACATGTACAATTATTTTGTGCTGTCATGTTAATATGGAGGAGTAAAATACTAGTATGCCAGTTCCAAATATTATTTGGTTATATTTTGTTTATTTGCTTACGTTTACTAAAAAATATTTGTACCTACTAGTACTTTCCATGCAGAATATTGTGTTGTTGATGTTTTTGTTGATTCCATCTTTCATTTCTCTTCCATTTCTATCTCATGTTCTGGTGCACATACTGTTGTTGATTAACTTGTTGATAAGCTGCTTCTTTTCTTATTTCCACCCTGTTGATAATTTTTTGGTTCAAATTTTTCTTAATTAAACTTTATTTTAAAGTTTTATTGAGAAATGTTTGCAAATGAGGTGATAGGAAAAATATTTACTACTAACAAGCACAGCACAGCACAGACCTTGTTTTAATCTCCAACAGTCAGTTTATATGTATTGAATGGGGCAAATATTTGTTCTGCCACTAGTGTATAAATGTTTACATAGCAACTTAGAGGAATGGTAGGTACTCTGTCAGCTGACATTTATTTATTTATTTATTCATTCATTGATTCATTGATTCATTCTGTTCATTCATGTCCATGTTTTTTTTTCTCTCAAGAACTGAAGCTTGGTAATAATTATTCAATCTGATAAATTGATTAAAATTAGGAGGCATTAGAAAAGAAAAGTTGTATTTCTTGAAGTTTTAATAAATCTTCTAAGTTGAGGTTTATAGATTTTGTTAAAACTTGTCAATTTAGTTTTTAGATGCATTTTATTTAGTTTGGTTTGTGATGGAATGTTTTTATATATTTTGGACCCGTTAATGTGTGCAGCTAATGTGTGCGTGTTCAAATGTGAAACGTGTTCCAATGCTAAATGTGGTACCTTTAATGATAAACATGTGGATGGGAATCTTACAGCTGACACAAGTAATTCTAGTTCACTGCACATGGTTACAATTACTTTGGCATTTGTTACACTCATCCATCACTTCTTCATTAGCCATGTCATGTCTGTTCAGCTATGTTTGTTTGTGTACTATTATGTTTCTTTGTTAGTTTTTGTAGTACATATTTTTTAGTTTAACCTTCGTGTTTGACATCTTAAAAACAACATTTGAGTTGAATGCTGGTTCAAAATTGTTCTCTCCAAATACCCAGATGATTTTTTTTATGATGATGAAATTATATTTGTTTCTATTATTTTTAGCACATTGTTCGTTGATTTACTATTCTTTTTATTATTAATTGTTCTGAACAGATGGCTGTTAATCAATCAAGCTCTCTAGTATTTATTAGATAGGCACAATGAGTCATTAATCTTGAGTTAATTTTTCTCCCATTCTATCCATTTGTATATTTTATTATTTTTTTTATTAGAAAACCAAACCTTCATTTCAAATAGTGAGCTAAACAAATTTTGCAATTATATTATTAAAGCACTATTTTTTTGCTAATTCACTAAAATCTCATAAAATCAATTAATCACTTAACCAATCATTTATTCAATTAATAAATCGATCAGACGGAGGAGAAGAGGGTTCGACTGAGCACAATGTCCCCAAAACCGCCCCCCAAGTTTTTTGACTACCTCATGATGAAGGGCAATTACAAACTGTCACAAAATGCATCGTTGCTTGTTAAGGAAGAAGCACTCACCATTGTAAGGACCACTCATATATCTTATTCATTTTGTTTCTCACATTGAATGTTCATCATTCTTTGTGGCATTTAACCTAAACTTGCCTCCTTTCTATTGATGAAAGAAAATCTGCTTCAAAACAATTTAAATTAATATTATTGTTTTTCCATTTAGGGATAAATACTTTTATTTTATATTATCCTATATGTTGATTTGAATTTGAAAATTATTCAAACTTTTTATTCATAATTCCAATTTGGTTTAAATTTGATGAGTTATTATTTAATTGGCATGTTTGTGGAGTAACTAAAAATAAATTCTTGAATGAAATTTCAGTTCTCTCCATCTCTTGTACCTGAAACATTGCGTGGCTTGTATGAGGAACAAGAGAGGGCCCGCAACAATCTTCAGACTGAACACATCAAAGAACGAGTATGCAGTTTCTTCTAACTAATTTTAAGAATAACTATATATATATATATATATATATATATATATATATATATATATATATATATATATATATGTTGGTAATAGACCATAATTTTTACAATATTCTATAAATTCTACCGAATGTTTGGCGTTAATATGTTTGTAGTTCGTTTTTTCGATTTTTCTTACTAAAGTTTTTTGGTGAACGTTTAGTTTATTAAAATTCAAAATAAACTTATTTTTCGAATTCATGCTGCAAATAAGGCCATCGTCAGTGCTCCTTGTTGTATATATAGGGAAATATTGACTTTGTCAAGATTAACTTTGACGTTGTAAAAATTAACTTTGGTGTTGTAAAATTGAACTTTGATGCGAATTAGGTGTCAGGTT